GGTGCTTTCGGCGGACACACGACTGACTCCCGCCGACATTCAGTTCGAGCATATCGTCGCCAGAGGCCGCCGAGCCGTCAGATGCGCCATACTGGGCCATCGCTTTGGTGATGTCATAGTCCTTGCGCAGGGCGTCGAGCCCCTCCAGCAGCGTGACGACGTGGCGGTCGAGCTGCGACGTCGCATTGACGCGAGTGAACGGCTTCATGGCCACAGGGTGACCAATACTGACACAGAGAGAGAGAGAGGAAAAGAGAAACGATAGATCTATCACGTAGAGGCCCTGCACCGTCTGGATGCCCTTTGTGAGCCTCCATCTTACCTCTCCCCTCTTATCCTCTACGGGCTCAAAGCGGAAAGGGGTGAGGCGAAGAGCGTAGTTGTTGTTGAGGTAAGTGAACTCAAACAGCTGCAGCACAATCTCCTCACACACCCGGCATGTGCATCCTACCTTCTGTCTGTTGGTCTCTGTGCCCTTCATTTCTCAGTCATGGAGCCGCTCACTCGAGTGAATGCCACATCGCAGCTGGACCTCCAGGTCGTCACGCTGCTCGAGTCCCTTGATGAGCGGCGCAAGGACAACACCTACGACATCAGCAAAGCCCTGACGCAGCATGGCGCATCTGACGGCTCGGCGGCCTCTGGTGACGATATGCTCGAACTGAATGTCGGCGGGAGTCAGTCGTGTGTCCGCCGGAAGCACCTGACGAGCATTGAGGGCACTGTGCTGGCGGCCCTGTTTTCGGGCCGGTGGGACGGGCGGCTCATTCGCGACGCTGACAATCGCATTTTCATCGACATGGAGTCCGAGGCGTTCGAGAAGGTCCGCAACACGCTGTTTGAGGGCGGCAAGGCGGCCGTTGACCTGCTCATCACAGAGATAGCCAACCGCAACTACAGAGGTACTCACGGCAACGAGATGAGTGCAATGTGTGTGTGTGGACGGCCTGTGCCTCTGCCCCTTTGTGTGTGTGCAGGTCTTCATGACTTCTGGGTGCGTCGGCTGCTGTCGCCCATCGAGAAGCCCTCCCGCAAGCGCATCCGCACCGACGAGGCGCCCTCGGTGTCGGCCGGCGGCGTGGATGAGCTGCGGGGGTTCTGCAAGACCGTCGAGTCGTTCCTCAAGGGCTACTTGGCGGAGAAGGGCAAAGTGGACGAGGAGGTGCAGCAGCAGAAGCACCAGTACGACGGCCTCATCAAGGAAGTCATGGTAGGCAGAGAGGGGGAGGGATCAGGGCGAAAGATCTTCGTCAGTGTGTGTCTGTGTTTCTGTGTGCTCTTTAGGCTGTGAGTGCCTTCCTGAAGCCCGTCAGTGGTGACGATCCCATTCGCTCGGTGGAGGTCTGCGGCCATCTCATCGCGACGGCCGAGTCCACACTCACTGAGATGGGGAAAGTCGCACTGGCGAGCAGATTCCAGCTGTAAGTGACCACCACACACACCACACACGAGGCGGGCAGAGAACAGACGTTTCCCTGTTGGTCGCTTAATGTGTGTGGCCAGGTGGCCCGCTGCCGTCGAGGATGTGTCAGAGGAGCACATCCGTCGACTGGTCGACTACCACCGCCGCAAACGACACGCCGCCGCCGTCACTGACGAGTGTCTGCAGGGCTGCCTGGCTGTGCCGCTCAAGATGGGCAACGGCCCCAAGCAGGACTTCTTCAACAAGACAGCCGCCATTTACGGTGTCGATCTCAGGTACGCCAGCCGCCCGAAGGAAAGACCCATTGGATGAGATGGTCGAATCTTTCCCCTCTGTGTGTGTGTGTCACATGGATAGCGTCAAGTATGAGGAGAGCCCGCTGGGAGTGCGCTACGAGATTGTGACGGCGGGCACCGGCCCCAAGCCGCAGCTCGACAGCCACATCCAATACGACTATACTGAGTGGCGCAATGGATTCGGCAGCGACTCAAAAGTCTTCAACCTCCAGTGAGTGAGCCAGCCCGTCTTGTCAGCATCCGTCTGCGCGCATGTGTCATGCCTGCCGTAGTGGTTGCAAGAGCTCCGTGTCGGCCCTGAGCAGTTGGTCGCGTGAGGCCTTGACGAGCATGACTGTCGGCGAGACGCGACGCCTTATCGTGCCCTCAGACGTCCGCAAAGTGTCTGTCTTATTTTTCTACGACACGCCGTCGTACGCGGAGCTCAAGCTGGTCGACATTATCAGCAGGTGAACATGGCACACACTCGACGCGGAGATCCTCTTTGCTGTCTTTGTGATTCATGTAGCGGCAAGCCGGTCGCTGCTGCTGCTGCTGCTGCTGCTTCTGCTCCTGCTCCTGCTGCCCAAACCAAGTGAGTCCATTCACGTGCACATGCACTTAGCCACAAGACGGTCTGCCTGTCTGTTTGCTGTCTGTCAGTCTGTCTGTGGCGCCCAACACCAGCAGACATAAAGAAGTTCAGGAGAAGTACAAGAAGCTACTTTCTCGGATAGCGCGTAGCCGCACTTCCTGTTTGCCTCCTCCTGGAGCCACAGGTGAGTCGAGTCCAACGCCACTCGCCTCATACAGGTGCGCCCAACCACCTGTGTCACAACCGTGCGGCTACAGCCGTTCAAGGGGCACCACCACGGCCAAGAAGGTCAAGGTACGTTTGATTGCACACATGACATCACCGGTGGGTCCGTCTCGCCATCCTGCCTGCCTGTGTGTGCCATATTGTGTCGTTGCTGTCTTGTGTCGGGTTTACGATTCCAACGCGCCCAAGAGGGCCCGTAGCGCATACATTCTCTTCAAGATGGACCGCCGCGACGAAGTCATCAGCCAAGACCCTGACTTGTATGGGCGCGTGACGGTACGCTCACACACACACACACACACACACACGCCCCGACCGATGCCCATCAATCAGACGGTGGCCATCCATGTGTGTGTGTGTGTGTGTGTTGTCTGGATGGATCGATGTCTTCGTCACTCAGGAGGTGTCCAAGATATGTGGGGCCGAGTGGAAGAGCATGACGAACAAGCAGAAGAGGCCTTACCAGATCAAAGCCGAGAAGGACAAGGTCAGGCACACACACATACACGGACACAGGCACAGGGGGGTCACTAATTGTGCACGGCGCCCTATGTGTGTGTATTGTCTATGTGTCAGGCGCGTTACGAGCAGGAGCTCATCGAGTACCACAAGCAATTGGCGGCCGCTGACTCCGACCACCAGTAGAGCGAACACACCACCCCGCACACAGGCAAACAGCGATCGATGCGGTACCAACCGTCCGTCTCTGCCTGCCATTCTTTGTGTGTCATGTAGCGGCAAGCCACAGAAGGACGGCGCGCCGGTCGCTGCTTCTGCTGCTGCTGCCGCCGCCAACTGCAGCCCTTCAACGGCTACGGGCACCACCACGACGGCCAAGAAAAAAGCGCCAAGAAAAGTCAAGGTACGTTTGATTGCACACATACATGAAGGATGGGCCTGCATCGGTCGTGTGTTTGTTGGTTTCAGACGTCAGTCAGTCATCCTCTTGCATATACTCTCTTCACGATGGACCGCCGTGAGGCCCTCATCCTCCAGCATCCTGACCTCAGAGGGAGCGCTGGACGAGAGTGCTGGACGAGTTGTGATATATACGAGAAGAGGTTGGCCAAGATGTTGGCTGCCGAGTGGAACAGCATGACGGACAAGCAGAAGAGGCCTTACGAGACTCAGGCCAAGAAAAAGGTCACACAGATGCACACACGAGCTCGTGGACGGTGCACTTGTGTGTGTCGGCCATATGGTGTGTGTGGGCTGTGCGTCAGGCGCGTTGCCAGCGAGAGCTCAACGAGTATTGCAAGCGATTGGCGGCCGCTGACTCCGACCAGCAGTAGAGCGAACAGACTATGCCGCACACAGGCAAACAGCGATCGATGCGTTACCAACCGTCCGTCACAAGCAATTATGGGCCGCCTTCGTCGGCGGATGGTCCACACGAATCGCATGGACAGGGAGAGTCTGACGAGCCGCGTGATACATACATGTACACCCCCTAAGAATGCTATCTATCCCACTGCACAGGGCGAAGTAACAAACAACAATACTACTGGCACCAACACACACAGACTAAGCTACTCTACCAGCGACCCATGTGGCCGAAACTGGTCACTCGAGCACGGACACACAGATGCACACACAGGCAGACAAGCAGAGACACAAACGGCAGGCAGGCAGGAAAGCGCTGACTAATCCGCAGGCAGACACTCATTACATTCATATTCATTCGACACAGAAAAATCACCACCTCTGCAGACACGTACGTCAGTGACGTACAGTGCGCTGTGTGTGAAAGCGTCGGAAGCCGGAACTGGGAGGGGTGCCCAACGTCTGGCCAGCACACATACACACACACACACACTCACAGACGTACACACACCTACCGGTCAACCAACGGGGAAAAGTGCGTGTTTGCTCACCGCAGTATAGCGCTGACACGGGAGTGACGATGAGTCGCCTTCCTCTGCACACACACATCCACACACAACACAGCCCAAGTGTATCGATACCACTGGTTGTGCGTATGGACTGTTCGTTCGTTCGCACCGCACCCACCCGCAGCGTGGCCTCCAGCGCTTGTCTGCACGCCTGCACCTTCCGTCCTTCGTGATGATGGTCGGCTGGAGGAGGGGGAGCGGGCGGCGCTGACGGAGCAGCCATCCCTTCATCACTGCTGGGCAACCTGATCGGGTCATCCACACACACACAAACACACACACATAAACATACACAGCGGTGAAGTGCACACACCCCCTGACGTCTTGTGTGTGTCTGTCGGTCACTCACGGTCTTCTGTTGTTGATCTTGTTGGACAGCCGCACCGCCATAGCAAAGTCGGCCGCTTCCTGCGTGGTGGTTGGGGCACCGGCAGCCGCCCGCAGCTGCTCGACGATGTCACGCAGGCCGTAGTTGACGTGCACATCGGTTTCAGCGGTCTCCCTCCTGATCATGATTGAAGTGAAAATGTTGTGTGGGTGTGTGGAGTGTGGTGTGTGAGCGGTATCTACCTACCTGCACTTTGGGCAGACGGCAACGTGGCGGTGGTTCCTGGCGATGAGCCCCTCAACACACTGGAGATGCGAGCAGGCAGGTAGGCAGCAAACAAACCGACACACATACAGGTACATGTGGCACGAAAGGACTCACTCACCTGAGCGCAGAAGGAGTGGCCTGACAGCCAGATGGAGGGATAGGCACACAGGGACAACAAGTCATACAAACACCCACTCCTGACCCGTCCGTCTTTGTGTGTTTCCCACTGACCGCATCGGAGCCCATGAGGCTGCCTGTGGGCATCCTCATGATTGTACTCCTCCAGACAGACGCCACACTGCGGGATGGAGGCCATCTCGCGTCAGATCTGCCACACACAACGGGCAACAGAGAGGTGTGTGTGGTTGTCAGATTGGTGTGGACGGGCAGAAGGATGCCCGCTCACCTGCCCTCCTGTGTGTCGCTTCAACAAGGGCGATGCGCGCGTGAATGGCCAGATCTTGACCCGGACGTGACAGATAGAGGCCTTCGGGGCAGCAAGGAGGCCAAGGAAGGGAAAAGGAACGAAACTTGGTGGGTTATTGTGTTTAACGAAAGTCAGCCCTAGATCCTAAATCCTGTGGGCCGCAAAAAAGCGCATGTAGGGTTTGGGCAATTCAGGGTTTCGGGGGCAATTTAGGGTGTAAACCCTAGCCCCAAAAACCCTGTGGGCCACGAAAAAGATTTGGGTGTGGGCAATTCAGGGTTTAGGGTTTACCAAACCCTAGATGCCCCCCATTGTATTTAGGGTTTAGGGTTTAGGATGTCCACGCCATACGCATTTCAGTTCATCTTCCTATCGACAGCTGAGCTGACTCACACCCAATCTCAGTCCCCTGTGGCCTTAAACCGACAGCAACGATACATAACACACATGATACCCGCTCAATTCACACCATCCATCTACTGCCTCCCTCCTCTCTGTCTGTGTGTGGCACACTCACTGGGGTGGCCTGCCTCTGTACACTGCATGCACTGCAAACAAAACCGGCCGACCGCCCAGAAAACTACACACATGACCTGCCTGCCGACTCACTGCTCATTCACTCATTCGGACTGCCAGTCTGACAGGTCAACCCCTCCCTCTCTCTCCCGTGCCTTCCCCCCGCTGTCTTTCTCTCGTCTTTTGGCCTTCGCGCCGTCCCTCTTGCTGCTCTTCTTCGCCGCTGCGGACCCTGCTTCTGCTGCTGCTGCTGATTCTGGTTGCTGTCCGTCGTCTCTTTTCACCTTTGTTGTCACCTCTCCTGCAGTCTTCTTGGAAGCGCTGCCAGGAGAGATGCTGCCAGTGGTGTATGTCTTGTTGAAGGTCTCTTCGCTCGCGTCGGGCGATGCTGTCTGTGTCGCGTTTGCGGCCTTGTCGCTGTCTTTCCCCCCTCCCCTCCGCAGGAAGCCCAGCAGCCCCTTGCCCGTCGTCGCATTCCTGCCCGTCTCAGCCTCGGTCGCATTCATCATGGTCGTCTCGTTGGCCTCCGTGCGCGTCATGTTTGCCGCCAGCTCTTGAGCTTCAGGGGGCGCGAGGATATCCATGATCTCCTGGGCAATGTTGGCCGCCTGCACGTCTGTGGATAAGGGCGGTTGCGCCATGGGAGTGGTGGCGTTGAGAGAGAGTGGTGGGGCGGTGGGTGTGGGAGGTCCTTTGATGCACTTGGCGATCAGGCAGCCGCGGCCCACCTGCCGGACGTCAACCGTCTCGAAACCAGCCCGCCTGACATAGCAAGAGGGGGCGAATGTCGTGTGTGGCTGTCTGTCCGTCCGTCCGTCCGTCTGTCTGTCTTGCTGGCTGACTTGAGGTAGGTTTTGAGCTCGTTGACGCTCGAGAAGTAGAAGAAAGAGGTCTGGCGAGCGGCCAGGCCAAAGCCATTAGAGCCAGTCCAGCCACCAACCCTGACGACAGACAGACAGACAAACACACCCACACACGTATTCGCACACACACGTGAAGAAATGGATGTGTGGTGTTCTGGCGGCTCACTTGAATGTGGTTGCATAGAACCTCCCTCCCGGCTTCAGGGCACGATACACCTCGTAGAGCGACTCCTCCAGTGACGGCCAGCAGTGCATCGCCGCACCAGCATGGATCACTGAACACACACACACACACACGACCATCCACTCGACACATGCATCATCGTGTAGTGTGGAGCTCGCCCTCCCACCGACCATCGATGGATTCCGTCATGAAGGGCAGCCGTGCGACGTCACACCTGACCAGCTCCGGCCTCTGGATGCCTTCCCGCACAAACCCGCCCCAGGTCTCTGTCAGCATCGCCTCAGAAAAGTCCGCCGCGATGACGCGCCCGAACCGCCCGCTCTTGACCAGACGCCGCGCCATGAAGCCGGGACCACAGCTGAGGTCGAGGGCCACCGATGACGGACCTGCACGAAAGGGAAAGAGAGTGCGTGTCCGCCGTGTGTGTTTGGTGTGGTTGTGTGGTTGTGTGGTTGTGTGGTTGCCGACCTTCGTTGGGTGAGAAGAATGGTTGTATCTCGGCCCATTCCTTGTCGATGCCGGGGAAGCCAGCCCTTGCAAAGTTCTGCCGATAACCCCTGAAACATACGCAGACAAAGACACATACACACACGTGCACGTCCACAAGAAGCGGAGAGTGTCCGCCATGTTCTCACCTCTCGTAGACGAAAGACAGCAAAGGGTTCCTGAAGTTCTGCGTCTTGACGAGCTCCGACACCGACTGCTGCCACACCGGCCGCTCAGACACCTCCCGCGGCACCAAGTCGACGTATATCGGGTTCACAGGGTACCTGCACGAGTAGCGCTTCGCCTTCCGATACCCCCGAACCACCAAGTTGTTGACCACACGCTCGTACTCGGTCAGCGGCTCAAGCGCAACGGGATCTGCCAGCACCGACTCCTTGCCTGTGGCAGGCTCGTTGCCGCCATTGCTGCTGATCTCCACATCGGATGGCGGGGCGCCGGCGTCGTCTCGCCTGCTCCTGACGCGGCCGCCGCGTGGTGGGAGAGTGGTTGCCTTGCTGAGCAGTCTTGTGTGGGTGTGTGGTGTGTCGAGAGAAGGGGAGAGGGAGGGGGAGAGCGGCCGGATGAAGGAAGACAGTGCATGGCTGGTCAGGGGCTGAAGAAGCAGGAAGATGCCAGAGGTGGCGAGGGCGAGAAGGGAGGGCGGGATCATGCTGCTGGAAGATCTTGACAGCTGCTGACGCCTGATGCCTCCTGCGTCTGCCGCTGACCTGCAAACTTGTGATTGCGAGCTCCCACATGGGGCGTTCGTTCGTTCGTTCGTTCGTTCGCACACGCACATGGGGCAGATTCTTATTGCAAAGAAGAGGTTTCCAGCTCAGTCACGCTCGAGCAGGCTGTCTCAGGGTGAATAATCGCACCAAAAGATGCAAAAAGGCGAAAAAACACCTGATGGATAAGACCTGACCTTTCCCTTCCTCTTATGCCTTTCCTGTTCTCTGCCTGTCTGGCCTCGTCTGGCCTCGTCGTGTCCTACAAGACCAAACAAACACTTATATGACCTTACAGACAACCATGGTAGGTATATGCGGTAGATACACACATACGGTACACATGGCATACATAAACGCACACCTGCCTCGCCTGCCTGCCTGCCTGTCTGTCTGTCTGCCTGTCTGCTTGCCCTGGCTCCAGACAGGCGCCCGGCTACTAAAGACACAACGCGACAGCGACGACCGATCAACCAACCAACCAATCGAACAATCAAGCAATCGAGCAATGGATCAAGCAATCACTCCCTCCCTCGTGCACCCCATTCCACCACCAGCACCCGCCTTCCCTTCCCATCTGCCTTGCCTTGCCTTGCCTTGCCTTGCCTGCAATCCAATGGAAAAAACGATGACGTATGCAGGTATGCAATGCCATCGACTACACCACCCATCCTCTCACCCCACTCTCACCCACTCCCTGCCTCCCTCTCTCTGTCTCTCTGCCTGTCTGTCTGTCGACAAAACCATCACGCCCCGTACCGTACACGCAAGCAGTCACACCTGTGTCGCATACGAAAATATGATATGGCCGGCCATCCATCTCCTTCTGTGTCTCACATTATGTGCCGGTCGACCGACCGACCGGCCAGTCGCTCACTCACTCAGCGCGAAGGGCGTCCTTGCCACAGGCGGGGCACCACAGCGTCCGCGCGTAGCACCGCACACTCTGCGGCACCGGCATGCCCTCCGCCTGCAGCCGACCCATCTCGTCTTTGGCGCGCTCGTGCCGCCCCCTCCACTCCTGCCAGCACGACTCGCACAAGCACCGCTGGTTGCAGGGGAAGAATGTGACGACGGCAGCGGCCTTGCGGCAGGAGACGCAGCTGCAGGAGGTGAGAGTCTCCTTTACGCGGTTGGCGGCCTGCTGCTTGTGGAGGAGGGCCGTCTCCTGTCTGGTGGCTTGTTTGGCGAGCTCTCGCAGGTGGGTCTTGGCGGTGGCGATCTCGTGCATGAAGGCGGCGATGGCTGCGGGGGTGGCGGAGATGAGGGAGGAGAGCCGGTGGGCCGTCAACCTGATAAGTGGCCACACACATGAATCCAAGGACAGACATCAGAGTGAGTCTCTCTCTCTCTCTCTCTGTGTGCGCGTGGATGTGGGGAGGGGGGGGGGGGGGGGCA